AAATAAAATACCTCCCCCCCTTTTTTTTTTAACCTTTTTCATTTGAATAGAATGTGGATTTTGACATTCCAAAGAAAAGAAGAATTTGGCACTAGCATTGTTGTGGGGATTGACAAATATTTTAATTACACATTGGCATGTTTCTTTAGTTTGGATTTTTAAAAGTTCTTAATGTGCTATCTAACTTTCATATCTTTCCCTGACTCTTGCCAGGTGATCTCTCTTCAGGCAATCATACCAGTTATTCTAGAAAGACACTATCCAGCCTGCTGTGAAAAGCTGCAGTGAGTTCCAGAAGTTCCTGATGACATTAAGAAATGTCAGGTGAGGTAATTTTCAGATAATACTTTTGAAATCAAGGTGTCCTTCCACGAAGATTTTTTTTTTCATTTTCCATTTGTTTCATTTTTGTATGTGGAATTCATTTTTAAGGCTATTTTGATAATGATGCCGTTGAGATCAAATAATGGTATTAAAAAGTATGAGCCTGTGGGTACAGTCTCGCACCTTTGCTAACTTTAATTTGTAGAAGAGTAATTACAGAAGACATTCTTTATTCACTTCAAACGAACCTTAATCATCATAAAAACTTTATGTCATCTAGTCCGTGACACCAAAGAAAAGACAACTCTTCCAGTCAGTAGTTAATTACCAATAAATATTTTTTCTTACTTATTTTAGAATGTGTTATTTAATTAGAAAACTAGCACATATAAATTAACAGAACAGTTCCCACCTTTGTCTATAACTAAGGCTGCCAGTGTGGTGAGGGCAACACTACACCTTGCCTGTCCTATCGTCTGATCTGGTGGGCTTACTCAGTCTACCTGGTGCTGCCCAGTTTGAGGGCATCATACACACTGGACCTGTCTCCTCTCAACTCCCAGTTACTTCCAGCCACAGCCTCCTCGAGGCTTCTGGACTTCACTTCTTTGAAGGGATGGTGTCTTTCAGCTGATTTCCTCATCCCTGAGGGGTTGGTGGTACAGGAATCTGTGTGTTTGTCCTCAGGCCCATAATTTAGACACTTCTCTTAAATATCGAATCTAATCTAACCTAATCTTCCTAAACATCTTGAGGAAACCAGGGCCTCTCTGTGAGACTTCAGTTTCTCTGATTATACCACGAAAGCTAGGAAATGATGCCCTTTTCCTGGCTGCCTCTCATCTTAACTGGAATGCAAGATTGGTAGAAAAGCAGATTAAAGGAGGAAATTATACGATCATCTCAAATGAAGCAGAAATAAATTTGATACAATTCAATATCTAATGGCAATATCAATGTAAGAAAACCAATTGACTTAATAGACTAAAATAAGAGAATTTAGCAAGGTTGCTAGATGGAAAATCAGTATACAAAAATCTTTTGTATTTTTTTATTAAAGTATCATTGACATACATATGTTAGTTTCAGGTGTACAACATGATGTGTATACGTTGCAAAATAACTCTAGTTAACATTTGTCACATACATAGTTACAGAATTTTTTTTCTTGCAACAAGAACTTGAATTGTTGGGCCTATAGCATATAGAAATGTAAAATATTTGAGAGAAACAGCACAAAAGATATGATGGGAGCAAAGCTGCCTTGGAGTAAGGAAATGACACCAGATGGTAATTCAAATCTACAGGAACAAATTAAGAGAATTAGAAATATTAAATAAGAAGGCTAGTATCACAAACTCTGTATATACTTTCTGTTCTTTCAGTTTCTTTACCAGGCATAAAATTACATAAAGTAGGAGTTATAACAGTGTACTTTGGATTTGTAACATACATAGATGTAATCTGTTTAACAATAATAGCACAAAACAGAGAAAAAGGAAATAAATCTAAAATTAGAATAAAAACTTGGAATATTGTAAGTTAATAAATCTAGAATAAATTTGAAATATTCTAAGTTAATATGTATATGGTAAGCCCTAGAGCAACCACTGTGAACATAACAAAAACATAAAGTGAAAAAAATCATTAAAGGAGTTAAAATGTTACACAAGAAAATATTCACTTAATGAAAAAGAAAACAATAGGAAAGGGGTAAAAAGACCAGAGACATACAGAAAACAAAAATAAAATAGCAAAGGTAAATATAACTATATCAGAAAAAAAAAACATTAAATGTGAATGGATTAAACAATTCAATCAAAAGGCAAAGATTGACAGACTAGATTTTTAAAAAGTAAGATGCAACTATATGGTGACTGCAGACACACTTCAGATTCAGACATACAAATAAGTTGGAAATAAAAGAATGGGAAAAGCTATGTCATATAAATAGTGACAATAAGAAAACTGGAGTAGGTTTATTAGTATCAGACACAATAGACTTTAAAACAAACAAAAACATGTTACTGGGTGTGATATGCACCTAAGCACAGAACCCCAAAATATATGAAACAAAACTGATAGAATTAAAGGGAGAAGTAGACGATTCAACAGTAATAGCTGGAGATTCCACTTCCACTAACGAATACAACAATTACACAGATGATCCACAAGGGACCAGAAGACTTGAACACATTGTAAGCCCATTAGACCTAAAAAATTCTGCACAAAAACAGCGCAACACACATTTCTTCTCGGGTGTACATGGAACATTGTCTAGGATACGTCACATTTTAGACCATAAAACAAACTTCAAAAAACTTAAAAGGATTGCAATCATGTGAAATATTTTTTCTGACCCCAATGGAAAGAAATTAAAAGTCAAAAAAAGAAATTTGGGCAATTCTCGTATGTTCTGGATATTAATCCCTTATAAGATATATGATTTGCAAACATTTGCTCCCATTCTGTGGGTGGCCTTTTTAACTTTGTTGATAATGTCTTTCGATCACAAGTTTTTTTCATTTTCATAAAGTCCAATTTGTATGTTTCTTCTTTTGTTACTTGTGCCTTTGGTGTCGTATCCAAGAAATCATTTCCAAGTCTGAAGTCATGAAGATTTTGCCTTATGTATTCTCCAAAGAGTTTTATAGTTTTGGGTCTTATATTTAAGTCATGGATCTATTTTGAGTTCATGTTTGTATATAGTCTTAGGTAAGGGTCCAATTTTGTTCTTTTGCACGTGGATATCTAGTCCCAGCACCATCTGTTGAAAAGACTGTATTTTCCTCATTGAAGGCTCTTGGCACCCTTGTCAAGAATCATTGGCCATCTATACAAGGGTTTATATCTGGACTCTCTATTGTATTTCATTGTTCTGCATGTCTGCCTTTATACCAGTACCACACTGTTTTGATTACTATAGCTTTGTGGTAAGATTTGAAATCAGGAAGTACGAGTATTCCAGCTTTGTTCTTATTTTTCAGGGTTGCTTTTGGCTATTAGGGAATCCATATGAATGTTGGGAGGGTTTAACCAGGGCAATTAGGTAAGTAAATTAAATAAAGGGCATCCAGATTGATGAGGAAAAAGTAAAATTATCTCATACACAGATGACACGATCTTGTATATCGAAAATCCTAAAGAACTCACTAAAAAAAAAACCCATTAGAACAAATAAATGAGTTTAGCAAGGCTGCAGGAGTCAAGATCAATGAAAAAAAATCAATTGTGTTTGTATCCTAGCAAGGAACAATCTGAAAATTAAGTAACAGTTTCATGTACAGTAACATCAAAAAGAATAAAACACCTAGGATTAAGTTAATAAAAGAAGTGTGAAACTTATACTCTGAAAATGATAAAATATTGTTGAAAGAAGACAAATAAGTGGAAAGACATTCTATATTCATGGACTGAAAGATTTACTATTGTAAGATGGAAATACTCTCAAATTGATCTACAGATTTAATGGAATTGCTTTGGGATCCTCTCAGTGGGGAGGGTCTTGAACTCAGAACTACAATAAATGTGCTTGAACTTACATGTGCTTTAAGGCACAGGGAGTTCTGAAGAGGTTCCTCTCTTCAGCCTAGCAGGTGCAGCCCAAGGTCCCCCCCTTCCATCAGACCTCTCAGCCCAAGGTGGAGAAGAGTGAGCAGTTCAAGGCTGTTTCTCTCTTGTGACTCCCAAGGAGGCAGTGTGGAGCAGTGCCAAATCCCTCAGGAGAGATTTAAGTGACTCACAGAGTTGCCACTATCAAGGCGTGTGAACTGTGCAAATCACAATTATTCCAGTGATGAAAAAGGTGTTACCTAAATCACCTCCGAGTTCTCTTTTTGTTCTAGGATTCAGAGAGATGCCAAAACTAAGACTGATTGAAAGTAAATTTCTCCAGGAAGCTAGAAAACCTGTAAGAGTGTACAAATTGGTTTCAGTGCTTAAAAAGAAGACGATATATATTTCAAAGCACAGAAACTATTGTTTGTGTGTGTGTGTGTGTGTGTGTGCGCACGCGCGCGCGCGCGCATGCGTGTGTATACACACACACACACACACACACACACACACACACAGCCTGAAGAAAACACATACAGTCGATGCATCCTATACATATAATCTATATCTGTTTATTGCCTTAGTGTTATATCTATATCTCCATATATCACTACTATTTATTATTTATTACCTGCTTACTACATGCTGGGCACTGTGTTAACCCCTTGACATTCATTCCTTTATTATTCTCTTAGAAGGATGACATAAGTTGCATTTCACAGCTGCTTTGGGAAGGGAGGCCAGCTGCTATGGAAGCACCTAGGGTTCTAGAAACTGGCTATGTAAAGCGCTAAAGCACTTTCTTGTAAGCTTGCTCCAACCCCCCAAAGGAAGAACAAGCATTTTTAGCCCTTCCTTCTTTCTTCTCCCCACCAAATATCCTTCTTTGACTTAGCTTTGAGAAGGCACAGGTTTTTCCTTACTCTTAAGACAGAAGGGCACACCTTAGGTTTTGCATTGCTGGAGCCAATTTTACTATTTACACTGCTGCTTCGGATTCTAATTAGAAACTGACTTGTGTGCAATCCAACGAAAAAAGGGTAAAAGAGCATTTACAGAAAACATAAATGTTGAGAAAACTGAAAGCTGTTTAGTCGACTATTTTATTGAATACAGGCGGCTATGCAACTGTACTCAATAAAAGAATTTATTGAATTTTGGGAAGTTTATCCTCGGTTTGCATTTCCTTTCCAGTCATAATTTGTACTTTTTGCCTAAACATCCACCACTCCAGTTTTTTTCTCCTCACAACTTCTATAATTTTGATTTGAGGAAATGACTCCCAAAAACCAGAGGAATATATACAAGCAAGTTGAGACACGTTCCTGAACAAAAGAATCATCTTTAAGAATTGTTTCAGGAATTAACAAAGGAAGATCATAAATAAAGGAGACACCATTTAAAGAAAAGCAATATTGGTAAAGATTCGTGGTTTCCTAACCATGTGAAT